GTGAGCGTCACACACACCCTCACATCCACCCCGGTGTCCACCACCAGTGAGCGTCACACACCCTCACATCCACCCCGGTGTCCACCACCAGTGAGCGTCACACACCCTCACATCCACCCCGGTGTCCACCACCAGTGAGCGTCACACACCCTCACATCCACCCCGGTGTCCACCACCAGTGAGCGTCACACACCCTCACATCCACCCCGGTGTCCACCACCAGTGAGCGTCACACACACCCTCACATCCACCCCGGTGTCCACCACCAGTGAGCGTCACACACCCTCACATCCACCCCGGTGTCCACCACCAGTGAGCGTCACACACCCTCACATCCACCCCGGTGTCCACCACCAGTGAGCGTCACACACCCTCACATCCACCCCGGTGTCCACCACCAGTGAGCGTCACACACCCTCACATCCACCCCGGTGTCCACCACCAGTGAGCGTCACACACCCTCACATCCACCCCGGTGTCCACCACCAGTGAGCGTCACACACCCTCACATCCACCCCGGTGTCCACCACCAGTGAGCGTCACACACACCCTCACATCCACCCCGGTGTCCACCACCAGTGAGCGTCACACACCCTCACATCCACCCCGGTGTCCACCACCAGTGAGCGTCACACACACTCGTAAAAACTCTACCACATGACTTGTTCTGAGACAAGAGAGAAACAGAAACTATCACCGACCCATCACGATGGAGGAGAGCGAGAGAAAGGGATAATGTGATAAAGTGATGGGAAAGGTGGAGATGGAATACGATAAATAAAATTACTGCAAAAGGCAGAAAATGAAATGGGATGATGAAGGAAGCAAATGGGTAAAAAAAAAGAAGAAAAAGATATATCTGGGAAGGAGGAGTTCAATAACTGTAAGTGCCTACGACTCCACTATATATTTGTCCAAGAGAAACGAAGACTTTCATTCTGGCGTTGTGGCTGTAGTGCACGGTTGGTAAATAACACTGGCGGGCCCTCCTCGCTTTGTTTACACTGGCATCACTTTTTATCGAAGGGGGAGAGGCGGGAAATTGGAGTGGAGGGGAGAGGAGGGCAACGGAGAAGACAGACTGAAGGATCAAGGCGTTCAAATTGCGCAGATATGAGGCTAAAGGCATCATAAAGGCTATAGTGTGTGAGAGAGAAATGTTCTGGGCGTGGCTGGTAATGCTCAGAGTGAGGTCTTAGCGAGGTCGCTACGGACAGGGTCCCACACTGACTCTCAACCAGAGTCAAGGAAGTGGTGACTTGGGAAGCCTGGTGTTGTTATTAGGTTATTGGAGCTTGTGTCTGTATCAGTACCGGTGGCTTGTGCTTGTGTGTGCTCCTGCTGCTTCGTGATGGACACACACAAGATATCTGGCTGTGTAACAAGTCATGTAACCTGCTGTTGGAGCTAGCGTGTATATATATATATATATATATATATATATATATATATATATATATATATATATATATATATATATATATATATATATATATATATAAATACACACACACACACACACACACATATGTGAACTGTTGTTGAGATGTGTGCAGCAGTTCAGTAGCTGCCACCTCTAGTTGGAACCCAAACTGTCTCCTAACTTTGCAACTGCCACTCGTTTACTGCGAGTTCTCATTTAACTTCATAATTGGAATTCGTTTACGGAGGGCTCTAATCTAACTTTATGATTGCGATTAATTTTCTGTGGAGTCCAGTTCCAGCTTAGCTGACTTTTGGTGTCCCTTCTGTGTTTACAGCGGCTGTAAACTGGTTATTAGCCTCCACCACCTGGGTCTCCACAACACTACCCTCCCTGCCACCACCACCACCTGGGTCTCCACAACACTACCCTCCTTGCCACCACCACCACCTGGGTCTCCACAACTGTACCCTCCCTGCCACCACCACCACCACCACCTTGGTCTCCACAACTGTACCCTCCCTGCCACCACCACCACCACCTGGGTCTCCACAACTGTACCCTCCCTGCCACCACCACCACCACCTGGGTCTCCACAACTGTACCCTCCCTGCCACCACCACCACCTGGGTCTCCACAACTCTACCCTCCCTGCCACCACCACCACCACCTGGGTCTCCACAACTGTACCCTCCCTGCCACCACCACCACCACCTGGGTCTCCACAACACTACCCTCCCTGCCACCACCACCACCACCTGGGTCTCCACAACTGTACCCTCCCTGCCACCACCACCACCACCTGGGTCTCCACAACACTACCCTCCCTGCCACCACCACCACCACCTGGGTCTCCACAACTGTACCCTCCCTGCCACCACCACCACCACCTGGGTCTCCACAACACTACCCTCCCTGCCACCACCACCACCTGGGTCTCCACAACTCTACCCTCTCTGCCACCTTCCTCAACGCCCATCTCCTTGACACCATTCTTGACACTGTCTTGGTCTCCGTCTCCTCCGCTTCTCTCCATAACACGTCCTTCAGTGTCGTGAGTAGTGGTTCAGTGACGCACAAAATGTTCCGCAGACAATCGTCTGCTTGAGACAAATATGTAAAATATAATCTGGATTTATATTTTTTTCAAACGCAATTAGACACCTCATGGCAAAATAAAATCCAGGCGCACTTGTTGACTGTGAGTGACCTTAACACACATAGAGACAGCCAGCAGACACAACATTAACCTAAAATATAATCTCCCACTAACTTTTGGTGGTGGCTTAAAGCCTGTCAGTCTCTAGGGGATCATTAGGGCCACCATAATTGCTTACTGACTAGTCAGCAAGTAGTATATTTTTGACTCTGGACCTAGTCAACAGCTAAAGTGATCGCTCAAGTGTATATATATATATACATGTATATATAAATATATATATAAATATATATATATATATGTCGTACCTAGTAGCCAGAACGCACTTCTCAGCCTACTATGCAAGGCCCGATTTGCCTAATAAGCCAAGTTTTCATGAATTAATTGTTTTTCGACTACCTAACCTACCTAACCTAACCTAACCTAACTTTTTCGGCTACCTAACCAAACCTAACCTATAAAGATAGGTTAGGTTAGGTTAGGTAGGGTTGGTTAGGTTCGGTCATATATCTACGTTAATTTTAACTCCAATAAAAAAAATTGACCTCATACATAATGAAATGGGTAGCTTTATCATTTCATGAGGAAAAAATTAGAAAAAATATATTAATTCAGGAAAACTTGGCTTATTAGGCAAATCGGGCCTTGAATAGTAGGCCAAAAAGTGAGTTCTGGCTACTAGGTACGACATATATATATATATATATATATATATATATATATATATATATATATATATATATATATATATATATATATATATATATATATATATATATATATATATATATATATATATATATATATATATATATATATATATATATATATATATATACTAAGAAGCAGAGTTTATATACACCGTTGAGGTTAATAATGCTCATCAACCTGTAGAGGGTTATTAAGGCCACCGCAAGTGCCTAGTGACCAACCACCAGCATTACTTCAGTACTGGACTGTACACAGGACCAACCCCTCTGTGTACATACTCCCAGAAGCCGTGTAATTCAGCTACAATTATAATTAAGAATTAGATTTCAAGTCCCAAGAACACCAATCACAGTCGCAGCAGTGTAATCCACTAAGCCTACTTCGCCCCCCCCCCTCCTCAATCTGGGATTAAGGGAGTGGCACAATGGCCGTCACTCTGATGATCGATGATCTGGGTGAGCCGGTTCGAACCCCACCTTAAAAGTTTAATATATATTACATCAACCCGTTCTCGCACTTGCTTATAGTCAACATTGGCTTATTTAATAAGTGCATATGTGACATACTAATTGATTATGAATATTTTAGTTTACCTTGAAAAGCTTCATAGAAAACACCGACCTCACCTAACCTTCTTAGTATGTTAAGATAAGCATCTTATTGCTTCTTAATTACAATTATTACTTAACCTATACCGTTGATAGGTTAAGTAATAATTGTAATTAAGAAGCAATAAGATGCTTATCTTAACATACTAAGAAGGTTAGGTGAGGTCGGTGTTTTCTATGAAGCTTTTCAAGGTAAACTAAAATATTCACAATCAATTAGTATGTCACATATGCACTTATTAAATAAGCCAATATTGACTGTAAGCAAGTGCGAGAACGGGTTGATTACATATAGATAATAATTTCTACATATTTCGTATCGTTGAGCATCACAAACTACATAACAAAACACTACGACCGAATGTTAGGACACATTTACAAAAATATATTCTTTATGAAGTCTAGTTCTTCATGCCAGATACCATGCAGGTGACAAGTGGCAGGCATCCATCAGTCTCCGGACACTATGGTGTTGCTCTCTGGTTGTCGGTCTGGAGTAGCCTCACCAGGGCGCAAAGCCTGGGTAGGTTGATAAGGGGAAGAAGCTGTTACCCATGCAGCAGGTCCTCAACTCAATATACCGTACTCTTAAGTATACTGTACTTAATGTTAGGAAGTATTTCATAAAGGATGTTACGATGTATGTGCAAGAAGATAGGAAATGATGTATACGAAGATTTTTTAAGTATATAATATATACGTGATCTGAGCACATACATAATACAAGATGTCAGGGTTTTGCATCATATGAAATGTAGGGTTATCCACCATACAAGATATCAATGTATACACTATACATGATGTCATATTATTCCCCATACAACATATCAAAACATATACTATACAAGATGTCAGAATACAATACAAGATACTGCAATAAGTACCATTCATTAATCAGAACACACGCCATTCAAGATTGCAAGGCGACAGCCATACAAGATATCAATACGTGCTCTACATAGGTTATCAAGGAATACACCATACACAAAGTCATACAAGATCTCACCATAGAAGAGATAACACAGTCGTCCTTTGAGTTTGTATATTTGTATGAATTACAATTACGTCACAATTAGCTAGGGGTATACAATATACAGAATCATGAAACATACTCTTTACTCACATTAATGTAACATATTGGCCCTATTCTATACAAGAAGTTGGAGCATAATATACACAAGATATCAGGGCAGGTATCATTCACACAAGTTTATATACCGCATACATCGTCATACACTAAATGCCTAAAACTGCAAGCACTGCTACATCATTATACAAATAAATACAACTTCTCATCTTATTTACATTATTCATATCGCATCATGAAGCATACTTTCAACATACACGAAAGATACTCCATGACTAATTTATTGCAAAAATTGAACATTCGTATTTTGATATTAAAATATTGCAAGACATGACGTCTATATATATCTATATAACATTCAAAATTATCATGTGAGCTGTACATAACATTCCCTTATATTATATACTCTATACTTACTTACAAGTTCTTATATGGATTAACATCATAATTACAAGAGTTTTAATATTTATCAATTCTCCTACTTAAAATCGTCTATCCCACTAATTCACAATTTCCATCTGAGCTTCATTCATAAACTCACATTCGCTTTGAAATCTATTCACACACTCAGAAGAGAATAAAGTTGAATAGCAAATTTCACACGTGCCAGTGTGTGTTATCATTCCATTAACACTAGTTAATGGAATGATAACCCACTATTTACAAAACACAAGACTGTGTTTTTCGAAATAGACTGAATATTTCGGTCTTAAGCTGATGAGGTCGCTGCCTGGGACCGTAATATTCGGTCTACGGTTCTTGTGTTTTCAAAATAGTGGGATATTATTCCATATTTAGAAGGATATTCATTCACACACTCTAAAGACCAAAGTGCTTGTAGTTTCTCACACCACTGTGGAACTGCTCCTCACCGATCACTTCACAAGACATGGTGAGCTCTTCTCCTGCTCTTCCTGACAAGGTAGATAGTCAGGAGTATAGGCACCACCAGCAGGAGGACGTCTACTACTATGCCGAAGATCATCTCGAGGGCGTCTACGAGGAGTAGAGAAGTAGCAACAGCCTCTCTGCTCTTCTACCTTATACACCAGTACCTGCCTGCTACCTTTGGATGCTTTAAGCAAAGGGGACAATTTGGGGTTGATGTGGGTTCATGCCCTTAATGGCTCCTAGTCACAGATATTCTGTATTAGATTCTACCGGGTACACACAAGGTGTTGGTCGTGTTAATGGGTTAGATTATACTCTAAATGAATCGTTGAGACTTTTGCTAAGTCGTTGGGAGGAGATTTAGATCTAAATCGTTGGGAGGAGATATTACAATATTTTTCACTGCGTCTTAAATTCTGTGGCACTCAAAACTTTGGTGCAATTTTATACAAGTTGATGTTTTACGCTTTTGTTTTGACTGCAGGAAAGGGATTAATGAAGCTCTTTCCTGCCTTGGTTACTACACCTGCTTTTGTTGTGTTATGTTGTTGACTTCACTGGCTGTGCGGTGGGGGGGGGGGGACGTCTGTGGTTGTCTTCCGCTGCTGGTGTTGCTGAGGTGCTTGGAGGCTGTCTTCTGTGGGGAGGGAGAGTCTTGAGTTGCTATTGTGTTCTCTCGACAGTTTTGTGGAAGCCCGTGACGTAACTTCTGTTGTTGGTGGATCAACTTACGTGTGCGGTGCTTGTTATCACCTCTGGTCTGGTCGTCAGCTTCACTGGTCTCCGAAACTGCTCCTCCGCTTCACTGGTCTCCGAAACTGCTCCTCCGCTTCACTGGTCTCCGAAACTGCTCCTCCGCTTCACTGGTCGGAAACCTGACCAACACAGCACCAGCCAACACACTTTAAGGTCATTTGTCTCGTTTAAGCGTTATTTAAGCCGGGTTTCAAGACTAAACACAATTTTTGGGGGGTTCGTTTTTTCTCCTCTACAGCCGATTAGAGCGCTGCACTGCGGCCTCTCAGTTCATAACATTCGAGATTCACTTTCAATTTAACACACTGTTTCAAATAACAGCGTTCTGATCCTGTAAACATAAAGAACACCATTAATCTCAACACGGGATACAAAAGTTATCTTATGTCCTACACTCATGCAATACTTTACCCGTATTTTATAGCCTAAACGAGTCACAAGACCATCAATACTCTGTATAAATTACTGTCTCTTCCACTAGGTGGACTCGGACGTGTCCGAAGAATTACTTTAAGGAGCAATGCCCCTGTTACCTAGCAGTAAAATAGGTACCTGGGTGTTAGTCAGCTGTCACGGGCTGCTTCCTGGGGGACACTAAAAAGCCCCGAAATCATCTCAAGATAACCTCAAGATCTCAAGATAGCAATGCAATTACTGCTCATCCCTTCGCTTCATCCTCCTATCCCAGCTCTAGCCGTGTCCCTATATCCCTTATGTTGTGTGGTCATACTGGGTTACCGTTCTGGCCCGATTGTGTTCTCATTACATACGTGGGAATGAGCGTGAACAAAAGGCCTTCCAGCATTGATGAATTTAATCTTGATGGACAAACTATATCCAGAGAGGGAATGTAGCATAAATTTGTAGGTTTGTATAGTAGCCTTAACCACCCATATGTAGATCATGTTAAAGAATGAAAAAAGAGCATTATTTATCACATCAATATGTACATTATGTGTGTATATATAGGAATGTAAGTGTGTGTGTAAAAGGGTATATGTGAGGGGGAGTAATATGGATTTGTGTTCATCGGTGTTAAAAGGAGTTCGTGTGTTCATGTGTATGGACGGAAATTTTAGTGTTTGTGTTGGTGGAGGGAATTTGTGTTTCTCTTGATGGGGGTTAATGGAGTCGTTTGTGTTGCCGTGTGTGTGTTGCGAAGGGACGTTGTATTTCTGTGAGTGAGGGTGCAAGAAGTTTGAATGCCCTTTAATCTGTAGTGGGGAAAAAATTGTATTTCCGTGTGTGTGTGGATGAGGGAAATGTGTTAATTTGTATGTGGAAGTGTAGGGGAGGGGTTTGTGTGCCAGTGTGTGTTGGGAATAGTATACATGTCTGTATGTGACGGGACGTTTGTGTGTGCTCGTGCATGGAAAGGGGTTTGTGTGGCGTGTAACTACTATTATGGGAGAGGTTTGTGTTCGTGTAGATGATGGAAGAGGTTGTGTACATGCGTATGTCCATGTGTAGGGAAAGTAGTGAGTGAGTTTCTATGTATCATGTATGTGTGAATGTTTACACTCGAGTGAGGGGGGGGGGAGGATGGGAAGAAGGGGTTTAGGTCCCAAAGTAGATTTCTTCCCTTTGTGTAGTACTACTTCTTTCAGTTATTGTAATGACTTGCATTTGTTGAGTTGAAGTCTTGTAAACATTTGGCCGACCAGACCTGCGGGCCAAGTCATCTTGGAGCCTTTTGCAACCTTCGCTAGACCTGACTCTCCCAAGCTGTGCATTATCCTTCACTGTGTCCTCATCTCTCACCTGTATATCCTCAGAGCTCTCCCATCAGATATACAATATAGCCACACTAGCCTAGTACATTACCTCACTTTATATTATGAACAAGAACAGCACTTAGTGTCATTTCTGCATAATAATTTATCTCCTCTTACAAGACACAAATTAAGGAAACTACAGAAGGCCTATTGACTCAGAAGAGGCAGCTCCTATTTACGTCCTCCCAAACTCATTCACACATATATATCTAGCCTACGCTTGAAACAATCCAGTGAGCCCACATATATTATGTTAACCGGTATCTCTGTTCCATAATTATACTATAATTCTGTCTCCGAGCATTTTATAACTCTGCAGGTCATTCTTGCCGGGTCCTTTAGGTTCCTCCACGAGGTTCTTGTGTGAGACTGTGTCCAAACCTTCTGGCCCCCCAAGAACATGCAGTCTATGCGAGCGTCACTCTCCTGCCTGATATCTTTCCTGCCAGATATCCGTCATGCTGTCGTAGAATTCCGATAGCATTCTCAGTCAGGACCTCGCATCTCTGAGCCGGAAAAGATGTTACATTGCAAAAGGTTATATTTCCAAAGTGCTCCATTATTTATTATTCTATCACTTTGCGTGGAAATAAGAACACTTGTCTACAGGTGACTGGGTGGTGTATGTCTCCCTGTGTGAACACTGCTGCAGCCCATCCTCATGAAGTGACAGTACTTACAGTAACTATTTGGTGGAAAGTACCAATGTGTAGTGATGGTCCGCCAGTAAGCCGGGTTTTATAGTATTCATTGTGTGGAGTTTTAAAAAAATAAAGCTAAAAACCAAACTTAAACAATCCTAGGCCTATTATAGTACACATATGCACTATATTAGTGGTAATATAGCGGGTATTAGTACGTACTATGTGCGTGACAGAGGTGTGTGTGTGTGAACCTGCATGTTGAAAGATAAATTTGTTTAATCAGAGCTAGAGTAGGGAGGGAGAGGGAGAAGTGAGGGTAGGCTGGAGGTGTATGTGTTCATGTGTTCACCTCCCACACACACACACACACACACACACACACACACACACACACACACACACACACACACACACACTGGCTACGACCCACCATCCCGCTACAGGTAATAACAATAGACAATAATAACGGGAGAGGGGGAGGCAGAGCAGAGTCACGCCCTACATCACCCAACACAGGTAATTATAATATTTACTCTGCTCCTCCCTCCCTCCCTCCCTCCCTCCCTCCCCCACTCTCTTCTCTCTCTCCCTCTCTCTCTCCACCCCCCCCCCAGTTCACACCACCAAGACACGTGGCGGTTCCTTGGATAACATAACGATGGCACTTATATCTATAGTGTTAGAACTGTTGTGCTTTTGAGAGTGATAATTGCACAACAATTCTGATGCTCCGTAAGACACAGCCAGAGCACCTGAGGGCGCCTCACTGAGACACAGCCAGAGCACCTGAGGGCGCCTCACTAAGACACAGCCAGAGCACCTGAGGGCGCCTCACTAAGACACAGCCAGAGCACCTGAGGGCGCCTCACTAAGACACAGCCAGAGCACCTGAGGGCGCCTCACTGAGACACAGCCAGAGCACCTGAGGGCGCCTCACTGAGACACAGCCAGAGCACCTAAGGGCGCCTCACTAAGACACAGCCAGAGCATCTGAGGGCGCCTCACTGAGACACAGCCAGAGCACCTGAGGGCGCCTCACTGAGACACAGCCAGAGCACCTGAGGGCGCCTCACTGAGACACAACAAGGGAGGGGTATGGGATGCGTACTAAACAAAGACTCAGTCAATACACTGAAGGGACCACATGTACACTGCTGCAGTATACAAAATATACATAAGGAATCACACGCATAATTTTAAAATAGTAATTTACACGCCTTTGATCTAATAACATGACAGACAAAGGTTTATGAACGGGTCTAAACATTGGTATATATAGACAATAAATATATATAGACTAATACAATTTAGTTGATTGACAGTTGAGAGACGGAACCAAAGAGCCAGAGCTCAACCCCCGCAAGCACAACTTGGTAAATACAACTAGGTAGGTACATGTGTACCCAGGTCTCAGCCCTCTACATAATATTCACGAAAATAGGATTAGCAAGATAAGGGAACGTTAGGTTAGGATTGCTCAGGTAATTTAAGGTTAGGCGAGGCTAGGTTAGGTTAGGTTAGGTTAGGTTAGGATACTGACATTGGTTATATTGTTATACTGATATTGGTTTTGTAAGGTAAAGTAATGTTAGGTTAGGTCAAGTTAGGTTAGGTTAGGTTAGACTAGAATTGGTTAGATTAGTTAAGGTAAAGTAAGGTAAGGTAAGGCAAGGTAAGGTAAAGTAAGGTAAGGTAAGGTAAAGTAAGGTAAAGTAAGGTAAAGTAAGGTAAAGTAAGGTAAAGTAAGGTAAAGTAAGGTAAAGTAAGGTAAGGTAAAGTAAGGTAAAGTAAGTAAGGTAAGGTAAAGTAAGGAGAAGTGAGGCAAGGTAAAGTAAAGTAAGGTAAAGTAAGGTAAAGTAAGGTAAAGTAAGGTAAAGTAAGGTAAGGTAAAGTAAGGTAAGGTAAAGTAAGGTACGGTAAGTAAGGTAAGGTAAAGTAATGTAAGGTAAAGTAGGGTAAGGTAAGGTAAGGTAAAGTAAGGTAAAGTAAGGTAAGGTAAAGTAATGTAAGGTAAGGTAAGGCAAGGTAAAGTAAGGTAAAGTAGGGTAAGGTAAGGTAAGGTAAAGTAAGGTACGGTAAGTAAGGTAAGGTAAAGTAATGTAAGGTAAGGTAAGGCAAGGTAAAGTAAGGTAAAGTAGGGTAAGGTAAGGTAAAGTAAGGTAAAGTAGGGTAAGGTAAGGTAAGGCAAGGTAAAGTAAGGTAAAGTAAGGTAAGGTAAGAAAAGGGAAGGTAAAGTAAGGTAAGGTAAGTAAAGTAAGGTAAATTAAGGTAAAATATGGGAAATCACATATGAGAATCAGCTGAATGAAATGAATATCATCGTGCGCAATCTTTTACTGAGGAGCTCAAATAGAGGAGAAAACCTTGTGTGTGGGGGGGGGGGGCGGGGGTTGATGGAGAGGCACTTCCGTCACCCTGTACCCTGATGAGGCCAGGCACTCTCGTCTCTGTGCCGTGGTTGGCACCCCTTGTCTCTGCTGAAGTTGGCACTCTTGTCTCTGCTCTGGTTGGAAATCTTGTCTGTCTACTGTGGTTGGCACCCTTGTCTCTCTGTTGTTGTTGGCACCCACCCGCCATGGTTGGGATCCTCACGTCCCCGCCATGGTTGGGATCCTCACGTCCTCGCCATGGTTGGGATCCTCACGTCCTCGCCATGGTTGGGATCCTCACGTCCCCGTCATGGTTGGGATCCTCACGTCCCCGCCATGGTTGGGATCCTCACGTGCCCGCCATGGTTGGGATCCTCACGTACCCGCCATGGTTGGGATCCAGGATGGCGCACCATCGTCGACGCCCCCGACACACACTCGGGGATCCCAGGTTCGACCTCCCGGCCGGGACAAATGTGTGCGCATGTTTCCTTTTACCTGATGCCTCTGTTTACCCAGGAGTAAATAGTTACCCAGGAGTCAGGCGGCTGTTGTGGGTTGCCTCGTCGGGAAGGTCAGTAGTTGACTTAGGGTGGGTCCGTCATGCAAGCATAAATACAGGCTTCCTGTCCCCGACAAGGGCAACTATTATATCCAGTTAAAATGTAACTGTTATCCCAAACCATAAACGTACTAACCCAAGCAACCCACCTAACCTATCGAAGCCTAATAGAAAACGTCAATATTACGGTGCTTTAACATTATTAATACGTCGCATAATAGATTAGACGATTTCGTGAAAAATGCGACGTATTAGGGGGAGAGGACTGGTAGTTTCACCGGGACAGATTTATATAATAGTTTACATATACCTGACAAGTGACTGGTGGTAATATACCGTGGGAGCACGTATAGTAGAGTCCTCCTGCGGGAACCTCCATGTTCTGGCCTCTGTGTCAAGTGTCATGTCCTAGCCAGAATATATATGATGTAATTTGCACTCCACTCCTTCCTAATTACCTTCATCATGATCCGATAACGATAACGTGAGATATGTGGAACTACCGTACGCAACGCTCCAGACAATAAAGCACCGCTGAACTCGTATCTCTTTACAAACAACGTACAGCCGACAACGTCACTATACGAGCACACAATAACGAAGTTGTTATGAGAGTCGCTCACATCGCCCTCCTGGGGGTGTGTATCCCAGCAGCTGCAGTACACTCCGCTACACTGCAACCCGCCGATGCTGTCTGTGTCGTGGTGGAGAAGAGAGTGATGGCCGGCCTAAAATTTTCCCGCGTCCACACCTTTCCCGCCAAGGCTGAGGTCGGCGTGAGCGGCCAGGGCTGCCACCCGCTGCTTCCCGCCAACACCAAGGTGCTTCCGCAGTCTGGCTACCACCACACGCTTACACCACAGGCTTACACCACACGCTTACACCACACGCTTACACCACACGCTTACACCACACGCTTACACCACATGTGTACACCACATGCGTACACTATCAGCGCATGCTTATACTATCAGCACATGCTTACACTATCAGCACATGCTTACACTATCAGCACATGCTTACACTATCAGCACATGCTTACACTATCAGCACATGCTTACACTATCAGCACATGCTTACACTATCAGCACATGCTTACACTATCAGCACATGCTTACACTATCAGCACATTCTTACACTATCAGCACATGCTTACACTATCAGCGCATGCTTACACTATCAGCGCATGCTTACACTATCAGCACATGCTTACACTATCAGCACATGCTTACACTATCAGCACATGCTTACACTATCAGCGCATGCTTACACTATCAGCGCATGCTTACACTATCAGCGCATGCTTACACTATCAGCGCATGCTTACACTATCAGCACATGCTTACACTATCAACACATGCTTACACTATCAGCACATGCTTACACTATCAGCACATGCTTACACTATCAACACATGCTTACACTATCAGCACATGCTTACACTATCAGCACATGCTTACACTATCAACACATGCTTACACTATCAACACATGCTTACACTATCAACACATGCTTACACTATCAGCACATTCTTACACTATCAGCACATGCTTACACTATCAGCACATGCTTACACTATCAGCACATGCTTACACTATCAGCACATGCTTACACTATCAGCACATGCTTACACTATCAGCGCATGCTTACACTATCAGCGCATGCTTACACTATCAGCGCATGCTTACACTATCAGCGCATGCTTACACTATCAGCACATGCTTACACTATCAACACATGCTTACACTATCAGCACATGCTTACACTATCACCACATGCTTACACTATCAACACATGCTTACACTATCAACACATGCTTACACTATCAACACATGCTTACACTATCAACATTTACACAATCAACTCATCCGCTAAATTCTCATACAGTTTCAGAGGGACAAAAGTGTCTGCACATTAATTAATTACAAATTTGTCGGTGAGGATGCTGCTCATATTCACTGCCACACAGGACAGTGAGGATGCTGCTCATATTCACTGCCACACAGGACAGTGAGGATGCTGCTCATATTCACTGCCACACAGGACAGTGAGGATGCTGCTCATATTCACTGCCACACAGGACAGTGAGGATGCTGCTCATATTCACTGCCACACAGGACAGTGAGGATGCTGCTCATATTCACTGCCACACAGGACAGTGAGGATGCTGCTCATATTCACTGCCACACAGGACAGTGAGGATGCTGCTCATATTCACTGCCACACAGGACAGTGAGGATGCTGCTCATATTCACTGCCACACAGGACAGTGAGGATGCTGCTCATATTCACTGCCACACAGGACAGTGAGGATGCTGCTCATATTCACTGCCACACAGGACAGTGAGGATGCTGCTCATATTCACTGCCACACAGGACAGTGAGGATGCTGCTCATATTCACTGCCACACAGGACAGTGAGGATGCTGCTCATATTCACTGCCACACAGGACAGTGAGGATGCTGCTCATATTCACTGCCACACAGGACAGTGAGGATGCTGCTCATATTCACTGCCACACAGGACAGTGAGGATGCTGCTCATATTCACTGCCACACAGGACAGTGAGGATGCTGCTCATATTCACTGCCACACAGGACAGTGAGGATGCTGCTCATATTCACTGCCACACAAGACAGTGAGGATGCTGCTCATATTCACTGCCACACAGGACAGTGAGGATGCTGCTCATATTCACTGCCACACAGGACAGTGAGGATGCTGCTCATATTCACTGCCACACAGGACAGTGAGGATGCTGCTCATATTCACTGCCACACAGGACAGTGAGGATGCTGCTCATATTCACTGCCACACAGGACAGTGAGGATGCTGCTCATATTCACTGCCACACAGGACAGTGAGGATGCTGCTCATATTCACTGCCACACAGGACAGTGAGGATGCTGCTCATATTCACTGCCACACAGGACAGTGAGGATGCTGCTCATATTCACTGCCACACAGGACAGTGAGGATGCTGCTCATATTCACTGCCACACAGGACAGTGAGGATGCTGCTCATATTCACTGCCACACAGGACAGTGAGGATGCTGCTCATATTCACTGCCACACAGGACAGTGAGGATGCTGCTCATATTCACTGCCACACAGGACAGTGAGGATGCTGCTCATATTCACTGCCACACAGGACAGTGAGGATGCTGCTCATATTCACTGCCACACAGGACAGTGAGGATGCTGCTCATATTCACTGCCACACAGGACAGTGAGGATGCTGCTCATATTCACTGCCACACAGGACAGTGAGGATGCTGCTCATATTCACTGCCACACAGGACAGTGAGGATGCTGCTCATATTCACTGCCACACAGGACAGTGAGGATGCTGCTCATATTCACTGCCACACAGGACAGTGAGGATGCTGCTCATATTCACTGCCACACAGGACAGTGAAGATGCTGCTCATATTCACTGCCACACAGGACAGTGAGGATGCTGCTCATATTCACTGCCACACAGGACAGTGAGGATGCTGCTCATATTCACTGCCACACAGGACAGTGAGGATGCTGCTCATATTCACTGCCACACAGGACAGTGAAGATGCTGCTCATATTCACTGCCACACAGGACAGTGAAGATGCTGCTCATATTCACTGCCACACAGGACAGTGAAGATGCTGCTCATATTCACTGCCACACAGGACAGTGAAGATGCTGCTCATATTCACTGCCACACAGGACAGTGAGGATGCTGCTCATATTCACTGCCACACAGGACAGTGAAGATGCTGCTCATATTCACTGCCACACAGGACAGAGAAGATGCTGCTCATATACATTATAAATTCCGAGCAATAGGATAGCAGGCCGCCAGAAGCAGAGATGGACCCACTATAGCTGTGAGGCTGGCGGAAGCCGGTCTCACAGCTACAGTCATCACAACCAGGTGATGATTTAGGTGATGCTGACAGACAGAGAGAGAGAGGACTTCCGAACGTGAGTGACCTCGAGACTCGTCAGTCAACACAGTCACTCAGGGCCTGTGGTTCCGCCATCACCTTGGTTCGTACTCCGTCAATGTCCTATCATCCTAAACTTTCTAATGTATGTTGTTGTTGTTGATTCAGCTACTTGGAATAGACGTTGCAAGTAGCACGGGTTATGGCGAACCCGTAGTGCACTGTGATTATTTCAATATTTATATATTGTGTTTTTAGATTTTTAAACATAAGCAATTGAGTTTTGCTTTGTAGTTACTGGTGTGCATTTGTTATTTACTCCCAAGCCACGATACATATATACCCAAGCCACGATACATATATACCCAAGCCACGATACATATATACCCAAGCCACGATACATATATACCCAAGCCACGATACATATATACCCAAGCCACGATACATATATACCCAAGCCACGATACATATATACCCAAGCCACGATACATATATACCCAAGCCACGATACATATATACAGGTCACCCTCCAACGTAGGGAGGGAGTATTATGTGTCCAGGACACTATACACATACAGCATGTATACCTTACTAGATGAGGCACCCGGCGGTGCCCGGGACGCTATAGTAAGGCCACGAGAAGATAGCTTTGACAATTTTTTTATTGGAATTTTCACTCTGTAATGTTGTCATTTTAACTTTTCTAAAGGTCTCCTTATTTTGGTCACGTCGGTCCAGCACACCCAAGTGTGCGCGACCAAACAGTCTTGTGCTATTTAACTGTCTGGAGACCTCATGATACAACTCTGCCGTCAGAACAATGGTTTAGCATGGTCTTCCCTCGCCGACTTAATCAGGTCCATGACAGGGGGGGGGGGGAGGGGGGGCATGGAGACCAAATCCGACTCGAACTTGTTCTTGAACCTGTCTTTTTCCCAGAGCCCTGTTCTTGAACCTGTCTTTTTCCCAGAGCCCTGTTCTTGAACCTGTCCTCTCTCCAGAGACCTGTTCTTGAACCTGTCCTCTCTTCAGAGACCTGTTCTTGAACCTGTCCTCTCCCCAGAGACCTGTTCTTGAACCTGTCTTTTCTCCAGAGCCCTGTTCTTGAACCTGTCCTCTCCCCAGAGACCTGTTCTTGAACCTGTCCTCTCCCCAGAGACCTGTTCTTGAACCTGTCCTCTCCCCAGAGCCCTGTTCTTGAACCTGTCCTCTCTCCAGAGACCTGTTCTTGAACCTGTCCTCTCTTCAGAGCCCTGTTCTTGAACCTGTCCTCTCCCCAGAGACCTGTTCTTGAACCTGTCTTTTCTCTAGAGCCCTGTTCTTGAACCAGTCCTCTCCCCAGAGACCTGTTCTTGAACCTGTCCTCTCCCCAGAGACCTGTTCTTGAACCTGTCCTCTCCCCAGAGACCTGTTCTTGAACCTGTCCTCTCCCCAGAGACCTGTTCTTGAACCTGTCCTCTCTCCAGAGACCTGTTCTTGAACAAGTCTCCCCATGGCATTGTTCTTGAACCTGTCCTCTCTCCAGAGACCTGTTCTTGAACCTGTCCTCTCTCCAGAGACCTGTTCTTGAACCTGTCCTCTCTCCAGAGACCTGTTCTTGAACAAGTCTCCCCATGGCATTGTTCTTGAACCTGTGGTCTTCTTATTGTTCTATGCCAAGGTTCAGGTTTTGCACTAACGCCATTGTGTTTGAGCGTCCAAAGTGGCTGTTCTTGCTCTTTCTTTTCTGATATCAACATCATTGTCTCAAGTAAAAATCTTTAGCGTGAGGACGTTGGTGTGTTAAAGGGAAGTGACTGTTGAGCCACGAGTCGGTGCTGAGCACGTGGGCCATTGTTATGGTATGTTGTAACGGGGTGAGGGACGGTGCTGAGCACGTGGGC